TGTAGCTGAAAAAATCCTAATAAAAACAAAAACATAAGAAGGATTTCTCTACTTTGGCACTACTGACATTTGAGGAAAGACAATTATCTGTTCTGGGGGCTATGCTGTACACTACAGCATACAGCATCTTTGAACTCTTCCCACTAGATGCCAAAAGTACAGCCTGCCCATCACCACCATTGTGACAACCAAAAATTGTCTTCAGGCATTGCAAAATGACCTCCCCCCGCTGAGAATTACTGCCTTCCAGGTTAATTCATCAGTACTGACGTCCTAAAATGGCTCCAGTAATGGAATTTTGGAACTCAGCATGGGAAGTTTGTATGCAAAGAAGCAGATAGTAAATATTTTAGGCTTTGTGAGCCACCTACAGACCCTGCTGCATAGCCTTCTTTGTTTTATATTTTTAAAATCTTTTAAAAATGTAAAAGCATTTAAGTTCAAAACTAGGCTTGAATTTGCTGAACTTAGTTGTTTTTTGTTTTTGTTTTTGGTACTGAGAATTGAACCCAGGGGCTCTTTACCACTGAGCATCATCCTCAGCCCTTTTTATTTTATTTTGAGGCAGGGTCTTGGTAGGTTGCTTAGGTGCTTAACTTAGATTGTAAAGTAAGAAATGATGAATTGTCATAATAATTGAAAGTGTTCAGATAGTTTTTGGAAATATTAGGATCTTAATGTAGCTACCAGGTCTTCGTGACCCTTAGCTAGCAGTTATGCTGTCCTACTTGGAAAGCCTGATTTAAGTAACTCCAAGTTAAATTCTATTAATCTTGCTTATAATTTAATTCTATTTAATGTATTTAAATGTAAAGGACAAATAAAACAGACTTGATATTTGAACAGACGTGGAAGAACATCTGCTTAGTAAGGATGTGTCCTTCCCTTGGTTTGGGAGTAAACATCCTCTGAAGAAGGCATTGAACAAAGGAAATGTTCCTACCCAATTTTAAAACCAAATTATGTTTTGATATGCCTATAGATATTATCAAGGAATGGAAAATGGTGTCTTGGTAAAAAAAAAGCCTAAAAGTTGCCAGTAAAACTGTAAAAATAAAAATGTCATTTTGAAAATATATTTTAAAGTAGTTTATGGATAATTTTATTTAATAATCACATAAATGTTTTAGCAAACTAGGGAAGGTCCATTCAACAAGTATTTATTGACCATCTGCCAGGGACTTTTTGATGCACTGGACTTGAATCCACCTGGACCCTGCTAAAGAAAAACATGCCTATAGGAAACAGCTATGTTCAAATACCCAGTGATTTTTTTCCAGTAAATATTCTTTCTATCTTGTATATAGCTAAATACAAATATCTAATGCTTTACTTTGAGCATCTGAAATTTCTATATGTAGAATTTATTGACATCAGACAAAATCATGAAAATATACTTATCATCCAATGATCACTGAAAGAACGGTAGTGTGGGATGGGATACAAGACTTGGGTCAAATATATTTAACTTGGGTAACAAAAATGTACATTTTAATTCATTCAAGTAGTTTATCATATGAAAGGCAGAGAATTATAGTGAAAAAAAGCACTAGGCTTGGAGTCCAAAACCCTGTATCACTGTCCTGGTTCTGTCCTTGTGTTTTTTCCATGAATAAGTCAGTTAACTTCTAAGGAATGCTTTTCTCATCTATAAAATGAGATAATGACACTTTCCCAAGTATATTACATCTAAACATACTATATGTTTATAACCTAAAAAGTAGCATAAAGGTGATAATATAAGCATAAGGAGTTAGCTACACCAATATTTGACATATATGATTTTGGGATAAATCAAATATTGTCTTGGTTATAACCCAGATCAATTATAAATGTGATCTTGTATTTCATGTTAGCTGATTATGAAAAAATATCCATAAAGCTTGTGAGGCCCTACTCTGAAATTTGCTATGACATGAACCCTGTGGATTTTCTGTTAAAAATATAATGAGCCAAACTTAATTTTCTAGTGAAATGAAGACTTTGAAGATCAACACTTATTGAAAGAGGTTCAGAAATTAATAGTTGAACCCTTACCGGCACCCTTAGGTTCCATCCATTTTGCCCAAAATTACATCTTTGCTCCGAAATCTTCAGAGGAAACCATTGCTAGGGAGAGTCACTTCCCTCATAGTATAAGGTCAAATTCTAGATTATAGAATCAGAGTATAATTGTGTTACTTGAACAAATTTGAGAATACACCTTTGAACCAGATCACTAGGATTTTCAAATATTTTCTCTGTGATATTCTCAATTACATTTATAAAAAGTCAACTTGGTTTTCTTTTCATTTTCTGTCATTACCCCCCCCCCCAGTCTATTTTAGGTCATCAAGTAGCTACACTAATATCCTAAGAAGGGTAGGTTCGATGAATAGGTTCAACCCCAAAACATTGTGAGAGGAACATTATCTGTGAAGTACCCTACACAGCCCTATAAGTTTCTTCCTCTGATTTGGTAGTCCTGAGAAAGCTCCCAAGCCCTGCTTATATTCTGACCATTTCATTTTATTTCAAATGTGATGCCACAAAACAGTCAGAGATTGCTGGGTTTTGTGTAGTGTTAATTGTTGGTGCTGTCCTTGATGCCAGCAACAAAGTTTCAGAATAACCCTAGTAATACAGTAGCAATGACTCTTTCACTCCTAACACTTTTTGTAAAGGACAAGTCATCGTGTTTCCAAATGGAAAATAAAAGAGAAAAAAAATAAGTGCTTACTCCCACACTTTACATTACCATGACTACTGAAGGTCCATTTTCCTATCCCCCTGTTGTATACCTACCAAAAATAGGGGTTGGATGTAGAAAGAAAAATGCGTATTTTGAAGGCAGTTCCCTAGGTTCATAAGTATGGGTTTTTATAAACTGTATGAACTCATTTGACCACAGAGCCATTGGCTAGAATTGAGTACTGACTGCTATTTGCCTTGATTTTGATTTTATCAAGACATCTAGAACATGAAAAACGCACCTCATTTCTTAAAACAGTCCACTGACTCGACCACTGTCCTTTAAAGTTGCCTTTTATACAAGGAGGCAAAGCCAGCTTCACTCTATCTAGTCTCAACCTTCTCTTATAATAAGCTTTTCTGTCCTGAACTGATCAAAATTAAATAGGGAGAAAGAATCCAGTTGAAAAAAAGATTTGATATGCCTGTTGATGTCTCATTAACCTTGAGAATGAATGTGACTGGTGACTGCCTGTCACAGTGGCGTGATGGTTTGTTGGGGGGGGGGAGCCAATGGAAGCATCTCAGGGAAAAAAAATACAAAGAGAAACATCACTTAGTAGATCATCGATCAAAAAATGGGTCATTTCCAACTGTCAGAACTGGCTAAATTACAGTTTCCTTTAGCCTGTGATGAATCTACTACATATTTCTTGGGAGAGCATTTGGAGCAGTATTTATCTGTGTGTCAAAATATGTTCACTGAAGTACTGAAAAAAACCCTACTCTGATGTTGAAAGTATAATCATGAGAAAAGCAAACATCTCAGGATTAATGTTAATAAGGTTCTGCTTTAAGTGAACGTGTGTGATGATTTTTGTGCCATTAAAAATATCATGAACCACTCAATGTGGAAGGTGCTAATTCTGTGGAGTCCCCAGCCAGATTCTTCTCTCTACTAATTGCTGATTGATAATGTGTTAACAGGGGAAGGAAATAATAGAGGAAAATTAGCTTTTCTCTTAGGGATAAGCAGTTACCTGGAGAGGAAAAGAGGTAGATAGTGTTCCCTAGGTTCACTAGCAGTCTCTCCTTGGGATAAGTGGACTAAAAATCTGACTGGCTTCTAGTCTCAGATCTGGACCAGAGAAACCCACACAAAAGCAGCATCTTCCATCTTTGGCACAAATATCACATCTGGGACTGGTTCCTGTCTGCCCTCCCCAGAGGAGAACTTGAAGTAAACAAACCTCACAATCCCCAGGGATTCAGATGGAACATTCTCACCTGTTTTGGCTTTTGTTCCTCAAGGTTTCTACTTTTCCATGTATAGTGCTGACTCCTCTGCTTTTCTTAGGAACTTCTTGAAAGTTACCACAATTAACCTTACTTTTCACATCAGATTCCCACCTCGGGTTGGGCTGATGGCACAACGGGTTTCTGTGTCACCCTCTAACCAGCTGCTCCGTTTCCTGTGCTCTTCTCAGAGCCACACAACCTGGCTGCTGCCCTCAGCCTTCTGCCTGTGCCCCTTACCCCGACCCGACGCTCAAATGCACACAAATACAAGTAGATCGATTGTTTTCCTCTTTTCCCAAGGAAGTTTTTGCATTTCAGAGGAGTGGAACTACTGTGAAAAACGAAATAACTGCAAATTACAAACATCATTTCCTACCCCCTAATACAGATATGGCTACCTTGCTCCGGGAGGAGAGGGCAGCAGGGCAGCTCCCGTCCTCGCCTGAGACAGTACTTTTTTTTTCTTGGTGGGAGGCATTTTCTCACCAGCCCGCTTCAAATTTCTCTGCCCCTCCCAATCCCCCTCTAGCAGCCTTTCCCAAAACACTTCGGGATTAGAGGAAAGGAGGAAAAAAAAAAAAACTGAGGAAAGGGGTGAGGTGTCTCTAAATCCCATTCCACCCCCCGCGGTCGCCAAACAGACTATTTTGTTGTCAAGTAGCAAGACTTTTTTGAATGTCTTCTCATTCGTTCAGCTGCTCCTTGGCCCAGTTACTCCAAAGCCTCCCTGCCCCCAAGCCCGCTGTGACCAAAACAAGCGCACCGACCACAGCACCGTGGCCGCCGCCGCCGCCCCAACTGTTGCAGCAGCTGTGGGGTGGCCGCAGAGGGCCGGGCCCGGACCCCGATGTTCCCTATCGGGTAGGCTGGGAGGCTCCAAGCGGCCGCCTTGGGGCAGGCAATGCAGGGGAGCCCCTGCACCAACCGCCTGGGATAGGAGAGGCGGCGCTCTCAGCTGGGACCCCGCGCAGTGCCAGCCTTGCCGCGACAGCGGCGCTGGCGGAGGTTGCCTGCACCCGTCCCCCTCTCACCTTTAAGATCAGGTCGGTGTGATGCTGGTCCAGCATGTTGGCTTTCTGGAAGGAGGTGACGATGACCCGGCCGTAGCGCCCAGGGGTCTGCAGGTCCGAGTAGAGCCGGTGCTTGGAGCGGTTGACCGGGAAGAGGCTGTTGACGAGGTTGCGCTCGATCTTGGCTAGGCTGTGCTGGGGCGCCAGCAGGTGCTCCACGCTTTCTTCGACCTGGTAGCGGCTGAAGCTGGCGCCGAGCAGGATGGAGATGAGCACCGGCGCCGAGGCGAAGAAGACCGGGTGACTGGCAATGAAGTGGCCGAGCCGGGAGAAACACGTCCTCAAGCCCCTGTGCAGAACCTGCCGCAGCATCCTAGAGCAGAGCGGGCGCGGGAGGAGGGCGAGGCGCACGCTCGGCGCGGGCTCGGGCGGCGGCGGCGGCGGCGGCGGCGGTGGTGGTGGCGCCCTCGGCGGCGGCGACGGCGGCGGCGGCGGAGGCAAGACCCTGAGCTCTCCGGGAGCCGCGGCACCACCATCGGGGAGTCCCGCGCCGCGCCTCTGGAGGGTCCCCTCCGGCTGGAGACACGCCCTCCTGCCCGCGGCCGCGCCCGCCCGGAGAGCCCCCCAGCCTGGCGGCCTCCGAGCCGCCCCCACCCCGCCCTACCCCGTGCACCTTCCCCAACCCCCGCCGCCTCCCCGCCCGGGGGGCTCCGGGCGGCGCTAACGCGTTTCTTTTCAGCGCGGGCGGGGCCCTGGGTAGCCCCAGCGGCGCGTCATGACCCCACTCACCCGACCCCCGAAGCCGCGGGGAGCGGCGGCAGCGCTATTGCCAGGAGACTCTGAGCGCTAGCCTAGGAACACGAGGACAGAGAATTCCAGGCTACACCCAGTCCCCTCCCCTCCTCTAGATCCCCTCCCCCGGCCCGGCCCGCCACGCTTGCCCTCCCTTCCCTCGCCCTCCTCCTGGGAGACCCAGAGATAAATAAAGAAATGGACCGTATTTTCCAAACAAAAAGTAAAAGAGTTCTCCCTTTGCGGGGGACGGGGTGGCGGTGCGTCGGGCAGACCCGCTTAGAGCCAAGTCTCCCTAGAGCCAGAAGGGAGCAAGCTGAAGACTGCGTGCGCCCTGGCTCTCCCTGGCTCAGGTGGTGGCGCGCACTGGCTGGTGCCGAGAGGGGGTGGGGAGCGAAGACGCTCAAGCGTGGAAATCACGCCTCCTCCCAAGTAAGAGCCCTGTAAGAAACCTCAACACTGCAGCTTCGGCGGGACCACAGGGTCCGGCTGTGCATCTGAAGCATAATCACCCCACATGTGTCCGTGAAGAATCTTTCTCCAGCGCCCTAATTTAGGGTCTCTCCAGAGTGGGCAGTTCTGCTTGCAAACGCCCCCCCCCCCCACACACACACCTTCCCACCCAGTTCCCCGATAATAAAAGTGCTGAATGACAGTCGGTTGAACCGTCTGTCGCCAGGGCTCCCGGGCTCTGGGCTCTCTGCCCTGCCTTCTCCCTCCTCCTCTCTCTGTCGTCACTGGCAGGTCTGGGGGACCTGGTGCGGCGGGGCTGGCGCGGGTGCCCCTGCGGGTATAGAGTGTTTGAGAAATGCTGGTCTGGTCAGGGAGTATGTAGCGATGAGCCCCTTTTTAGCCTCACCCCGCCCTCTACTCCTCCACACCGGAGGGTGTGCATGTGTGTGGGGGGAAGCCTCATGTCAGACCTGGAGAGATACAGGTCTCCTAGAGTGTCGAGCCGCAGGGGGCGCGGGGGAGCCCGGGGGGCGCGGACGGCTTGGCAAAGTTGGGCGTGTGCGTGTGCGCGCCAGCAGTGAGCTAGCAGGCAGCCACTGTGGTTCCCCTCGCACTCCCCCTCGGGAGAATTCCCCAAGAAGGCGGGCTCCGGCTTCGGCCCGAGATAGACCTGCGGCGGCGGCGGGAACGGCCACGCACAGGTACAATTTAGCGCGTTTCTTTGCGCGCTCCAAGCCCCTGGGTCGGTTCGCTGCAAAGCAAACAGAGCCAGATCCCGGAGACTGGGTCACTGAGGCGCCCTATCCGACTGGGGGTGGGGTGGGGACCAGGGCTCAAGGAGGGGTCCTCAGGCTCCACGCTCCAAGCTGAGCTCAGCCTTCTCATTCCACGCCTCTGGTTGCTTCTGCTTGGCCTCTCAATGCCAAGGGTCCAGTGGGAGGTGGTGGCGGCAGGAGGCGCGGCCCCTGGAGTGTGGCCCGTACTACTGAGCATGGACATGCATATTAATTAAAGCTGTAGGAAGTCGGAATAGGGACGGAAGGAGGAAAAGGAAGGAAGGAGAGTGAGGAAAGGAGGGAGGCTGGGAAGGAGGGAGGGAGGGAGGGAGGGAGGGAGAGAGAGAGAGAGAGAGAGAGAGAGACTGACAGACACCGTGGGAGAACGCGACTCAGAGAGGCATGTCTGTAAGGCTCGTATCCCAGACTCCCCAACGCAGAGCGGCCCTGCACTTCTCAAACTGAACTTGGGAACTTGCACGTTGGAAACAGGAAGCCGCAGGCTGGGAAATCCTCCTTTTTTGATCCTCTTATCCCTTCCTCCATACCAAACCCAGTTCCCTACATTTCCTCAGCAGCACCTGCAACCGCTGCGCTGCCCACTCTGGGGGCACTCTCGCCCTACCCGGCCTGCGCTACCTTGGTCCTTCTACCAGAATCTCATTCACTTTCTCTGCTTTTCCTCGCTCTTCCGCACTGGGCTCTCTGATTTTGAAGGGTCCCTAGGAGGCCAAAGTCCAGCAGATTCCAGCCAACATCCCCCTGTGCCGCACCGTTATTGCCATCCTCAGAAGGGACACATTGAAAGGGGCTAGAAATTCCCTTGCCACACTCCATTGGTACCCTTCCCCCAGCATCTTAATTTCTGCTTGCTGAGACGCCGCTGCTCTGCAGCGCTTTGCTGATTCACGATGATCGCGGAGGGAAAAGCCTCATTGACTTGTGCCCCTGCAAGCGGTGAGGCGAGCGCGAGTGACTGTTAGGACACGCGCTTTGAGAAACTACCCAGCATTGAGTAGCCGAGGTGCTAAATGGCAGGGTGAATGCTCTGCGTGGCTCCCAGCAGGGGCAGACGAAAAGGTGTAAGGGCTTGTAAGGGCTGGGGGTGGGGGTAGCAGTGAGAAATAATGTGAGCCCAGCTCTTTGCGACTGAGCCAGCGGCAGCTAGTGGGTGGGCACCTATCAAGAGGCCTAAAATCGTTCTCTGCGCATAGAATGAGCAGGCTGTTTCATGTGCACTGATACCAGCGCAGGGACAAAAGTAAGAGAAAGAAAAGCAACTCACAGGTCTACTTGGGATGCTTAAACATTTTGGCGAAGCTTTTTTCATTCTGAAGTCTTTGTCCTTCCAAATGATTCCCCCCCCAGCCTTGGTTCAACTTCATCCCTAGAATTTCCGGCCTTTTAATGCCAGCCCTTACACAGGCTGAAGAGCAGAAGTGCCTTCTCTCAGTGCCTGGGCTGCATTTTAGTGCAGGAGACACTCAGCATTGCTCAGCTGGCAGGGGTGGGAGTGTTGTCCTCCCACACATAAAGGGCCTTTCCTTTGAGACCAAGACTTTGTCTTCTAGTCCTTCCAACTCCATTCCTAACTGTCCTTATGTATATTGGGGGGGAACTTCCACCCTGCTTGTTTTGATTCAGGGGGAATCTCTTGAGGATAGATCTTCTGCCACCTTTTTTATCTTTTATTGCCGGCAATGCCCTTTATGTTGTCTAAATTGTATAGAGGAGACGGGTGAGAGAGGAAAAGAATGAGAATGAGACAGGGAGGGAGAAATTGTCTACTCACTATTTTTCTTCTCCTTTGATTCATACTTTCAGGGGAGGGAGTATTGCCACCACCAAAGACTTGGGTTTGAATTTGGGACAGTAACATTGGGAAAAGAGTTTTCATCAGTCCATTAATAAATTATTACTTTTTATGATTAAAATTAATATTAATGTAAGATAATTTAGAAAATAACAAGAAGGAAACAAAAACAGCTGTATCCTGGTATACCCACCACCTTTCAAGGGTAACCTCTGATGATAATTACTTGTGCATATAAGCAATATAATATAGTTATTGTTCCTATAGCCATTGAGTTGAATCCTTGCTCTACTACTTACTATCTGTGAGGCATCAGGTGAGTAGATTCACCTCTTTATGATGCTGTTTTTCCTTTCTGGAAAATGGGAATAACAATAGCAGCTACCCCACAGAGTTTTTGTGATGATTTAAATAGAATAGAAGATGTAAAGCACTTAGAATAGAGCACCTAAAATATCACAAACATATAATAAATGATATTAATTATAATTATAGTCTTCTTTTTATATGTGTGTGTGAAAAGAAAATCAGTCCCTGACATCCAGGATATGACCTTGTATTATCACCTGGGCCTTGGGCTAGCACTCACAAACTAAGCTTTGGCATTCTTTTGTTGAACATAAACCATTTCCCAAAACATTAATGTCAGATAAGGGCATTTTGTAACTATGATGGATTAAGGCAAAATGAGGACCACTTCATAATCATATCTGAACCCAGACAAAACATGAATCTTGTCCAAATAACCTAGCAGGTACTTAGCCTGGCTAATGTCCATGACTATTTTGGTCTTTTTAAAAAATAATAGCTTTAGTCTTGTTATGGTCTTCTCTCCTTCTAGATAAAGATTTACTAAAACACCCAAATCATAAAATCATCTCTCCTTGCTGATGACATCCAATCCAAGCAAGTCCCACCAACTTAAACCTTTCCCAAAATCATTTAATACAAACCTATATTCTTTCCAACCCTTTCTTATTGAAGTGCCCCTTAGTTCTCTATGATGTGTTCTCCCTTAATACAATGAAAAATAAACCCAGCATGACCAATTGTTGATGTGGTTCTGACAGTCTTTTATATTAACCATGTATATATAATGTTTATATACTTTTTTTTCTAAAAGAAGCTCATGCCAAATATTCTGTTTGGTAACCATTTTTAAGGTCATGAACATTTTCGTATGTCAGTTAATATTGCTATAAAACATTTTAATGGCTATATAGAATTCCATCGTATGGCTGAACCTTAATTAACTTAACCTATATTGTGGAACATTTGGTTTATTTTAAATGTTACTATTATAAATAACGATAAGCCAAACATCCTATACATAAATTTTTGACTGCATCTCTATCATTTTTAGGGTCAAATATTCACATTTTGAATAGCATACTCCTAACAGATACCTTTCTAATTATTGTTAAATTGGAAGAGACAGGGACATTCCTTCAGAGGGATTAAATTCTTTGATAAAATACTGAATTAGTCCCACTTCACAGAGATTTCTATCATCTGTTACATTTAGAATCAGTCTGTTGGCTTAGTCTTGCTCAGAGATACTGTAGTAATTGATC